AGCTTTTATATAATAAAAATATAATTTTTATAACTTCATGAGCGTTCTCTTAATTGTAGTAGTACATCTTAAAGCAACAATTATCGGTTCCTAGCTTCTTAGAGCAATATGACTTTCTAATCGTATCAGAGTCAAAAATCACAACAATTGTTTTATTATCGAAGTTAAGTAAGTTAAGTAAGGATAAGATGTCAGTTTGTTGTTTATTCCCATTGTTTTCATATTATAACATTTTCTTATAATTCTATTACATGGTTATTTGTATTGTCTGTATTTTTTCGTATAAAATATAAAAGCTTGAAACTTTCTAAATTTAAAAACATTTTGCCCAAGCTCTGTTATTCTTTTAATATATTTTGTTCAATGTCTTGTCACATATTCTTAGAAAATATTTTTTATACCCAATTCATTTCTTCACATTTTTTATAATAAAAATGCTGATTTCACAAAAATCTTTCAACCTTTCCTCTTCTCAGCACTAGCTGCAGTCGCAAATAGTCATTTTAATAATTATACATTTTTAACCAATTCCATTTAATCCCAATGCAATTTATTCTTAGGACTTCTATCTAGCATCCTCTTGCTTCTACGAAAAATGTTATTTTTGATATTTTTTCTTAAGATTTTAAGGAAACGTGTAGATAAAAATTCCGTTCTTTCACGCCTGTGTTTTATTTTAACTGTGCATTTTTTAAAGAAATTGTTCGGTGTTTTATTTTCAAAATTATTTGGTGCAATGAAAACAATGTGTTCGTGTCTGCAGCATCAGTTTAAAAAAATCCTCCTCTGGGATTTTCTCAAGTAAAAAAATATTTTTCTCTGTCGCTTGTGTTTCGCCAGTTTACCATTTCATACGTGCTTAAGCTCTAATCTCATAAGGATAAGCCATGTTTCCTTGATACGTTCTTCTATATAACCGCAAGTATGGAACTTAAGCTGCATGTTATTGATTTTTGCATAGTTTTAGTTAATATACTTTCTTTCATCAGCTTAAACAACTTAAGAAGTTGTAGTTGTTGAATAAATATTTTCAATATTGCTACAAACTTCAATTTGTGGTTTTAAATGTGAAGATAAAATTTAAAACATTTAAAAAATAGTGAACGCATTGAAATTGTTGAATATTTAGTGGATCGATTCACGAAGAGTTATCAGCATTGCTTTAATTTACAAGATTTTTATTCTTAATAGTATTTGAAAAGTGTAGCAGTCATGAGAGTTTGTTTTTAAATGATATTTTAATGCAACAGTCGTACTCCGTTGGTATTGAATAAAGTACATTTATAAGAAAAGTTAATCGATTGATATTCAATCTGTTTACCGACATTGCAACAATGAAAAATTATTTTAAAGCTCAACAGCTATTGCAATGACAATGTTTGTCTTATGTGTTGGTTTGTTGCAACTTCCATCTTGTTCAAAGATTGATACCTTAAATCAACAGAAAACGTTGTTATGCTATCCTTACTTAGTGAGATAAAAATCTCGAAATATTCTAAGAAACAGGAAGAAGAGGAAAACACCAAGCAAGTATGTACGTGATTTGATTTTTAGATTTGCACCGTCGTGCACTTATACAGTGTACAGTACAAAAAAAAATATAATTTATATAATACGCGTATATTGAGTTTTTCCTAAACTGTATCAGTTTCAGTAAAAATAGCGACAACAGCTTAAAAGCATGGATAATGGTTACGAAAGACACTGGCAATTGCATTATTGAGACGCTCATTATATCGTCGTGTTGCTCTATGACACTCATATTACTGCATCTTTGGATGCAGTTGAAAATGCTGGCAACGGAAGTTTTGCTGTTGGCAAATATCCCTTTGCCGAGTTAGAAAATCTAACGATAATTGTATATGATTTAACATTTCGTGACGTATCTACAAATCGAATTCAGATATCGCGTGACACGAAGTTACAGCGTTGTTATTTTAAGCAATTGATAATATTTTAGCTATCAAGTATGCATGAGTGCGGTTTGAGGTTTTATATTCAAGTAATCCTTATAATAAATAGAAAAGCTTTTTGAATGCTAAATTGTATGTTTATGCGTGGTTTTCTGTACTAAGGTGTGGTAAGATATTTAATAGTTCAGTTTAATCAATACAATACGATAAATCAATAATTCAAAAGTTACAAAAGACAGAAAGTTAAAGTTATATAGCAGCTTAAAAAGGGAATACATATTGGCGAACATTTTTAACGCTACAGTGCGTATGAGTGACATTTTTAGTGGTAATTTTTTTTCACTACAACGTATGTACAATATTTTAATAAGTGTTGAATAGAATAATGTTTAAGTAAAAAATTAGATTTTTAACTTATTTACTCATATAAGCGCTATAATGAATAATGAGTGTATTAGACACTTAATTTTTTTAACCAGACCATAGATTTGTTACTCACTCCAAATATGTCTAACTAAATACTGAATGTATTATAGACTTATTTTCTTTACCGAGTCATAGATTTGATACTTGCCTCTAAGTGTGTTTAAATCAAATCTGTGTTAGTATTGCAAAAGTGTTTAAAGCTACTATTAACATCAAATATTGCCATTATATGTATAGTCAAATTTTAATTAACTCTTTGCCCGTAATTAAACACTTTTTAAACACTCTGTTAAAGTGAAGTAATTTATTTATTATTATTTTATTGCACTTTATTTGAAGTGAAAAATATTGTAAATTGTTTCATTAATACACTCAATTTGAAACTAGAATGCAATAAATTGCTTGAATATGCCACAAAACTATGCGAACCGCAAATATGCACAAAATTTTTTAGTTATTTGCACCGAAAACTGTAAACAATTTTAAAGATTTTTTCTATTTTCTAACTTTTATTTAAGCAGCTTGTATGAGGCAACACTTGTTCATGTCATACTTTGAATTTTTTTTCATTGGACTCATTTTTTTATTCTGTTTGGGATTTATCCCTTTCCTTTTAGTTGCGCTCTTTGTTGGGGAAATGAAGTTGTTGGCCTATGAAAATTAAGTGTGTGGTTTCGACCAAAAAATTGCTCATAAATAGTTGCACCAGCACATTCGTATATATTTCCATTGTTCATTTGCAATGTAACCAAAAACAAAACAAAAAAATCGAGTTCATATCCAGCCACCCGCTTCTGAAAGCCATAAATAAAGTTGCATCCAGAATAACTGAAAATCGGACTGTGACCGTTGCAGTTATCACGTTAGTCGGATGTTTTGTGTATTTCATAAACCACACACCAACTCGCAGTAACACAGACTCCAAGGCAATTAATAATTTCATTTTGAACTCAATTCTGCCATTTTTTATTTCCTTCACTTCTGACTTCGTTCGTTTGGTTGTATTGTTCCGTATTTTGGTCAAAATTGACCAAAATTCTTAGCAAATGTGTGCATAAATCTTGAAACGTCATTGCTAATATGACACACTATGAACAATGAAATTATTTGTGGTCGGAGTTTAAAGTGGAGAGAGAATTATGGCTTCATGACTTCAGATATAGGAAAGTAATTTTTTTTTGTTTCTGACATTTAAGTTAACTTTTGAGCTTAAGGTGCAATTAAAGTATTAGAAAAAAAGTATTTCAAATATCAAAAGAGCTTGCAATTGCTAATAGAAAGTTTATCCGTTTTTTTGTTGTTATAATTGGTTGCAGAAAATATCGTTTCATTGTCAATAATTAACGATTTTTTGTAGACTTACAATCACATTTCTAGCAAGCAACCCAATGAAATAGTAACAAGATTCAGATAATTAATACTTTTTTCATCCTTACCGGAGAATAGTCTAATAACCTCTCAAAAAAAATTTCCGCCAAAACCTGGAAACTACAGCTGAGCAGATATAGAAAAAGTGCTTAACTCTTTATTTTTCTTGTAAGTTTACTCAACTTTAAAAAAGAGTATTAAAAAAATGTGAAGCTTAGGTTTCCATACATCCGTGATAACGGATGTTAGCCTAACAGTATTACAGCGGTCTTTATTAAATTGTGTCCTAGATTTTGTCTTAGTATATAAAGCCTAGTCTAACCAAGCGATCACACATGACTTAAGTGTCTTTTTCATTTATTATTGGCAAGTTGAAAAAATAAGAAGAAAGTGTTTACATTTATGATATTTATACTAGAATATGGGTAAGATTTTTAATTACCATAATTCAAGCCTAAGCTATTGTCAATAAGAAGTGTTTTTTGTCATCCTTGTATTTTTTATTTTGATTTAAGTATTGATAAATTGCGGACAATATTTGTTTTTAAACCACATGCGAATTTCTATGAAATTCATTTATTTGTATATAGAAGTACTAAATTATACCATAAAATATTCCTAGCGTGATGTTAGACAATGACTTTTGTTGGGACTAAGACATGAAAATTAAAGAAAAGCGGATGATGATGAACAACACTTTTGGGACACACACCTAGGCATGTCATACTTAGGCATACCTCCGGTCGTAAGTAAATTTTACGTGTGGAACCCGACTCAAGATGAATGATGGCACAGAACCATAGGGTTTGGCCTCTTAATTGGAGTATCGTGGAGGCTGTGGTTAAAACAAAAATTTAAATTTAATTCAAATTTAATTGAATATGGAGTTGTATTTTCCAATCGAATGCTGAGACCCAAGCTCATCACACTCGAAGCCCTGTTTTGACTTCAAAGTCCAAGACTACAGAGCTTTAAGAGCAGCCTAACCTGTCAGAGTAAATAACAATTCTTCATCTAGACGATTTTTTTGTGATATTGGATCTCGCGCATAAGTTGATTGTATGAATTTTAGCTTAAAAGACACATATGCTATTTAAATATGAATATATCTTACTCCACTTACTCCATCAGATCAGTAGAATTATGTCTTGTTTGTTAATAAATATAAAATATTATAATGCAACTATTTTAAAATACAGTACCAACTTATGTATTATGTTATGTAGAAAAATATAAAAAATTATTATACACTTAAATAATTTAAGGACTTTTTTCGTTTTCTTACTTTTACAGGTCCAGCATTTTGGGGTCTTATAAATCCGGAATGGTCACTATGTAACAAAGGACGCAGACAATCACCAATAAATCTTGAACCTGAACGACTGCTATTTGATCCATACTTAAGAGCTTTACACGTTGACAAGCATAGGGTATGAGAATTTAAAATATTATTATAAATGGGAATTCTTCATTCAATTTTACATTTTCTTTACAGATCAGTGGTTTGATTAGTAACACCGGTCACAGCGTTATTTTCACAGCGGGCAATGACACAGTTGCCAATTACGATGGCATGCAAACACCAGTCAATATAACAGGAGGACCATTGTCCTATCGTTACAGATTTCATGAAATACACATACATTACGGCCTACATGATCAATTTGGTTCAGAGCATAGTGTCGAAGGACATACATTTCCTGCAGAGGTGAGTGACGAATAATGCTTTGCTTTGTAAAAGCAACGTATGAAAATAGTATCTCTAGCACATTTATCATAATACATATATACCAAATACTATTTATACTGGGTGAAGTACATTTCTGGTAATTTTTTTCTTTGTTTTGAGTGTAAATATATTTTAATAAAATCTGCTATGTTCAGCAGCATAAAATAAGATTTACACGCTTAAATAACTTCTTGAACCACTAAAACAGATTTTTAACTGAGATTTGCCTAAACACAAAGTCATATGCAAACATCTCAGAATTGCTCGATTTTATTTTATTTAATATTTTTTTATTTTTGCTGTTTTGTGCATTTCACAAATTCAATTGTTCGCCTTTCAAGTATTTCTTCTTCTTGGCTTTGTGCTGACACACAAAGGCATGTGTGTGTGCACAGACGTTTTACACATTAAAACATTTAAAAAGTTTACACACACGTACACACACTAAGCTTGAATCACTTCAGCATGATTTTGTATGAAATCAGAAAAAAAACCAAGAAGAAAAAGAAAAAAAAAATATTGAAAATCAGTGAATTCATGACACAGTCACAGTGTCGTAAACTCATACACTTACACACTTACACAGCAGATACACTGCAATAATTGTGACATTGACTTAATGTTGAATTCGTATGCTCCTGTCTTTCTGTTTTTCTGCCTCTGTGACTGTGTGCCTGTGTGTTTGTGTGCTTGTGACTTTAACTTTGTAGATGAAATCGTGGCGCAGTTCACTTTGTAAGGAATATGACAGCAGCTGTCGCTTCCTTTTCTTCTTCCTCTCAAGACTTTTTCCTTCTTCTGTTAAATATTTGCTACATAAACGAGCGGAAGTGCACAATAATGTTTGATCAACATTTAACGAAACAAATGTCGATTTGTCGTTGTCTTATTTGCAAAATTATTCTTATCATTTTATTAAGTTGCGGCAATCGTTTTCAATGGCTTTTATGCTTTTGACTTTAAAAAGGAAGTAGAATAGATATTTTTCTATTTTATTATATTACAACTCAATCCTTTTAAGATTCCGTATACTTTGATTATTTAGAATGCTTTGAATTGAATAAGAAAAGTTGAAGAATGATTTAAAAAAGAAATGATATTAAATGGTAAATTATCAAAGAGTTACTTCTATATTAAAGAAAAGTTAATTAAATAGAAGATTTAATCACTCAAACCTGTAAGATTTACAGAAAAACAAAATATTATATCGCTAGTTATATGTTGATTTCGAAAATAGTCTATAAGTAAAGCTCTGATAAAAAATCGGTTACAAGCAAGGAAAGTTGTCGGTATTGTCGTAGTAATCTGCATAATCGTCAGCATAAAAAGCTACGTTGATCTTACAACTATGGTAAGGCATTTATTTTCAGTTGAAATTACCTAAATGGTGTTTGCTGACCATTGCATCGATATAGGAACAGTGGATATTCTGACAAAAAGAGATAGAATTTATTCATCAATTTCTATATCCATTTTCAAGATTACAAATGAATTAATGTAAGCTTTCTTCAACCCCAGATCTCATTGGTTTTGGTTTTGGACTTGCCATAATAAAGAAGAATTAGAATCTATTTATTACTTTCTAAATCGTTTTCCAAGACTACAAAGGAATTGCCTTAAGTCATCCGAGATCATTTCTTGTTTGACCTGGAATGGATAACGAAAATGGGGTTTTGGATCTTCTAGATATGTGGTATATGGAGACAACAACCGTTAGTGTGATTTGCCTTTCCTACGTAAATTTGAGGGCACCACAATGTGCAATAGGTGTCTTTAAGTGAAAATGCTGCAAGTTATCCTGCATACACCCTTTAAACCTAAACTAACCTATGTAACTGAACACTAAGATCTGCGTTACTATCCCAAATAGATTTAAATTAAAAATATATAAAGTGTCTATATAACATAAACACAATGTATACAAAATGTATACAAAATAATTATATCATATATATTTAATATTTTAAATGTTTCTATATACATATATGTACAACAAAACAAAATATCGGTGCTGTTGTGTTGCTGAAGGCATTTAGCCATATTGCCTTAGAAGTTCTAGACTTACTTTATATTATAAGATCTGTGTTAGTCGCACAGCTCCGATTCTTAATCTTACTGTCATTCGTGTTAACTCTTTAGTGTGTCTTATTTTCTTTTTTGCATCGTAAATTGGAATTAATATAAAATAAATGAGAACAATAATCGTCCCAAAAAGATAGACTGGTGCGTTTAGGAATCTTTTAAATGGAAAGTCGATATATTTTAGATCTTGGCAATTCACGATTGATAATATATTTGACGGAGTTTATATTTTTTATTTGCGAGTTTATTAAAATAGTGTGACACTGTTTCTTCTATAAAGGGTTTCCAACTCATAATTTCCAATTTGGGATATGATGTTTTATAACATTAAGATTGAATCATAAATAATTTTAATAAGTCTAATAAATATAAATTTCTGTAAATTTTTAACGAAATTTTTTGTCTATTTTCTATTTCTATATACTATTTTCTATTCTATTCTATAGTGAGTTTAATTAATTGTTGTGAAAGTTGGCATTAATAATTAATGAAAAATAACACCGTTATGAAGTTTCATATGTCGACGTGCCTCTTCGATGCATATTTAAAAATTTATTATTTTATAATAACACAATAATCTCAACATCTCAACAAAAGATCTTATCACTAATGATTGTTTAATTAAAACATTAAAATTAATTTGTAAACTCAATCTCCGAAAAAGTTGAAACTTTATCCGATAATTTTTATATTCTATTTCAAAAAAAGTATAAATAAACGAGAAATTGCATAATTATTTTTTATTAAAACAGTTATCAATACAAAATAATTTAATTAAAATAACCGCAAATATCAAAAAAAAATCCGATAAGCTGTAAAAATAGGACAAAAATCAACAACATAATTTTCCTGTCTACTCCTTTTACGTTCCATAAACATCACCTGCATAGATTCTGGTGATTAAATTTAGCCACAAATAAGCCAAATTACCAAGAAAACAAGCTAAATAACAAAAACAAGGAATTTAACCTTAACTTTGCTGAATGAAAAAAATTTTACCAGGACTTTTACTTGTACCTTGTACGAGTATCTTAATCGCGTAAAACAATCCACACAATGTTGCCAACATGTTTACCATCTTATTAGGATTTCATGAGGATTAATTAAAATTGCCAATTAAGAATTCATTAAATAAGATAAAACTGCTGCGAAGATAACACGCAGACAACGAGACAGACAACAGGACTGTGCTAAGTTGGGTTAAGTAATTCAAGGATTCAAGCGCGTTTGGGGTAAAAATGTAGTTAGTCCTTTTGTGTTGTTCACTGTTTTGTTCCAAAGTCGCGTTATCAATGTCGGAATTCCTGCTGTTGTTACCACAAATGCTGTTCTAACTACAGTTGCTGTCAGTTTTGTTATTATTGGAGCTGCTTTTTATAGCCTGCAGCTGCTTAGCATTCCGTTTGTTGCTTTGTTACGCAAAAATTTGGTTAAAATTGTGTTATTTTGCAAGGGTTTTCTTTTGGAATTTGCCATTTCCATTTCTTTCCTTCTTTTTTATGTACTTTATTTTTATTTCAGCTAGACGAAATGAAAATTTAGCGAAATAATATAAAATTTTCAATTAATTTTACGACAACTTGCGTCGCTAACACAGATGACAGACAACAGGCAAAAGGAAACTACAATTGCATTCGCAGGATCAACACTGTGTGCACTTCTTAGCCATGAAGGAGCAATAAAGAAGCAAATTTATAACATTGTTGTTTACAGTAGGCTTTGAGCCAACATGTTGCATAGCAGTTTTAGGCAATTCAATGTCATGTGTAGCAACATTTTGTCATTTTAATGACGCCGCATTTGAGCAATACTACAAATGCTTAGGCTTAACTCTATGTACTGTCTTGTACTCGCTTGTATGTACTATACTTGGCGAGAGTATCTGCTATTTTATAGTTTTTGAAATGCGTGTCATGTAAGTCATTTTTTATGCCTGTCTCCAAGTCCTTTGATTTTTTTCATTTGCCATATACTTCGTGTTTATATGAGTTTTCCTTTTGCTATTTTTCCGCTTGCGATTGTTTGTCATTTCGCCGGTGGCATGGTTGTGCGTTGTGAATGATGACAAATCCGTCAGTCACTGGCATAGTTGCAACGCAGCGCAGCATTCTCTGACGTGCTGTGATATCAGATTACTTTCCACGAGCTCAATAGTGTCATTTATACCAGAAGTTCCATTTTTTGTCGATTAAATATGTACTTTTTTATATGTTGTTCTTATGTTAGTTGGTCTTCATGTTGTGCATTCAGCGTAGTTAACTTTTTAGTTTAGCTTTATACAGTGCGTATTTGAACTGTGGTTAGACAGAAACTCTTTTCAAAGCCATTTGCAAACAATTTGTCAAACGCTGATTTCGTTTTTTATGATTTTTATCGCTTTTGAGTTTTTTAGGTCTTCTTTTTTTAAGTTTATTAGGTTAAGGCTATGTAAAAGTTGGAATGAAGTTGCTACAATTTAAGAATTGTAGGTGTCGATATTCATTTTTAACAAAATTGTATGTGAATATATTAGATAGGGTAAGTTTTTGCGTTGAGGATTAGTGGTAGAGTCTTAATTTTGATATAGACGAACTCGTTACGCAGATATTTGTATACGTTTTGGTTTGTTATTATATTATTAAAAATATTAGGATAATGAATTATGTATATAATTATAATTATGTATATAATTCAATATTACTTAATATAGTATGGTCCAAATTTAATAATCGCTTTGTAGAGCTATTTCGGCTTTGAACTTAATTGGACGTTTGGTGCCAAAAGTTATATTTTTTTTGGTTTTGAAACTGAGCTGCCAGCATATTGCTTGTCCCATTAAGTACCCGGCAATTTCAGACTTGAAATTTTATGGTGAAATTTCTATAGTAAATAGTAAAATAAAACAAGGTTATTTAAAT